ACCTAGAAATGCATATTTTGTAGTTTTGGTATTATCTTTTGATAATATCAGTTAGCTCACTTTTTATTATTCAGATCATGTTCAGATTATATCTTTACTAACATGTTTTGTATTTGTGTTCTAGTAGTGACTTGAGGAATGCTAAAATTTGCAACTAGGCTAGTAATCCATTTCTATTTTTAATTTTTCCATTTTGTTCTTTAGATATTTTGAAGCCCTATTGTTTGGCACATGCGCATAGGATTTTTATGCCTTTTTGATGAATTGTTATTTTTATTATTACTTAATGCCCATTTTGCCCCCTCCATTAGTGCTCTTTTTCATAAAGTTTATGGTGTATGTGTACATATATTCTTTTAGGTTCATCTATACGTGGGCCCTTTCTGCAGATCTTCAATATTCTATCTAATATAGGCACCTGAAAACATATTTTTTAGCATTTCTTTTATGCAGGAGATGAATTATTTTACATTTTTGTTTATTGAGACTGCATTTTGTCTGTGTTTATTTTTTGAACAATATTTTTGCTTAATATAGAATCCTGTAACTGAAAACTTTAAACACATTACATATGTTCTGGTCTACATTGTTTCTGGTGAGAAGTCAGCTGGCATTTGTAATGTTGCTTTCCAACATGTAATGTCTTTTTCATTTGGATTCTTTTTCAAGATTTTCTCTTTGATTTTGTTTGGCTTTTGTTAAATTGACTACAATGTGCCTAACTACGGTTTTCTATGTATCATTGTTTTTTTTTTTCTCACTATTTTGTGTATGATGAGCTTCTCGGATCCATGAGTTTATGTCTTCTACATTTTTGGAAAGTATTTGGGCATCACATTCAAAACATTGATCTTCTCATTTTTTCCTACCCTCTCCTTCTGGGGCTCTATTTAAATATATGTGCAACCACTAATATTATTTCATGTATCTTGGATGCTCTGTTCTCTTTCTTTTTTTTTCTAGTTATTTTAAAAGGTTCATTTTTGTAGTTTCAGTTTCTATAGTGAAAATTTCTCATTTCTTCATGCACACTGTCTGCCTTTTCCAGTAGATACATTTATGTTTCACCATAATTATTTTAAAGTTCCTTTCTGTTAATTCCAACTGCTAGAGCTTCTCTGAGTATGCTTTTTTTGACTGCTTCCACTTTTAATGGGAAATAGTATTTCTTCGCTTTTTCATACGTCTTGCAACATTTGATTGCATTTCAGGCCTTTTGTGTAATAGAGTAATAAACATTTACCTTCAGAAAGGGACATTTTCCTTCTGTTAGTCTACCTAAGTGGACAGTAAGTTAATTAAATTTCTGGCTCAACTGGTTTTTGGCTAGTTTGCAGCTTTAGTCTGACTTTGAAAATTTCAAAGGGTAAATGATTAGAACTTTGTCTTCAGTAGCACTTTAGATGTGGACAATGACAACATTTGTAGACCTGCCTGTGCTTCACAAGGAGGTTACATATCTTTGAGTGTTCTGACTCTGCTGGCTTTAATATCCAACATATGTCTTGCCATTTGTTTGAAACCTTTGCTATCTTCAACTTTGTCACTTCAGCCCAGTTAGGCCAAATAAAACTTTGTTCTTCAGCAGCATCTTTTGCCAAAGTAAAGGTTTTTATCTTACCCTCTTGCCCCCATCCAATATACAAAATAACCACAAAGAAAAAGCCGTTGCAGGATTTGGATCACCTCCACTTAAGTTCTGCCCTGCCTTATATATTAATCTATCTATTTCTCATTTCTTTGTCTGCTCATCATGCCTTTAAACAGAAGATTTTAATCTACCTTTTCCTATCATTTTCAGATTATTTGCCTACTGCAACAATTCCCCAATTCCCTTTTTCTTGGAAGAATTACTGGCTTGTTTATCAAAATTGCTCAATTTTTCTTTGCAAGCTGTACTCTCAAAAGAATGCTATGCTATCATTATTTACTGTGTTACTTATATATTACAATTGTATAATGTCACAAATATCTCAGACACAATCATCATTAAAAATAGTATTCTTTCCCTTAAAATGTTTGAAACTTTATTGTATCATTATAAATGGCATAGAATCATTAATGCTTCCTTTTCATCTTGAAACCATTATGTCAGATAATTGATATTTGGCTGTAAAAGATTTTACACTTTGGGAGGCCAAGGCAAGGTGATCATTTGAGGCCAGGAGTTCAAGACCAGCCCTAACAACCTAGCAAGACCCCAATTCTACAGAGAGCCAAATCATGAGTGAATTCCCATTCACAATTGCTACAAAGAGAATACGATACCCAGGAATACAACTAACAGAGATGTAAAGAGCCTCTTCAAGGAGAACTATAAACCACTGCTCAAGGAAATAAGAGAGGATACAAACAGATGGAAAAACATTCCATGCTCATGGTTAGGAAGAATCAATATCCTGAAAATGGCCATACTGCCCAAAGTAATCTATAGATTCAATGCTATCCCCATCAAGCTACCATTGACTTCACAGAACCAGAAAAAACCACCTTAAATTTCATATGAAACCAAGAAAGAACCTGTATAGCCAAGAAAATCCTAAGCCAAAAAAAAAAAAAAAAAAAGAAAAAAAGCTGGAGTCATCATGCTACCTGACTTCAAGGTGTACTACAAGGCTACAATAACAATAACAGCATGGTACTGGTACCAAAACAGAGAGATAGACCAGTGGAACAGGACAGAGGCCTCAAAAATCATGTCACACATTTACAACCATCTGATCTTTGACAAACCTGACAAAAACAAGCAAAGGGGAAAGGATTCCCTATTTAATAAATGGTGTTGGGAAACCTAGCTAGCCATATGCTGAAAGCTAAAACTGGATCCCTTCCTTACACTTTATACAAAAATGAACTCCAGATGGATTAAAGATTTTAAAACAAGACCTAACACCATAAAAACTCTAGAAGAAAACCTAGGCAATACCATTCAGGACATAGGCCTGGGCAAGAGCTTCATGTCTAAAACACCAAAAGCAATGGTAATAAAAGCCAAAATAGACAAATGAGATCTAATTAAAGAGCTTCTGCACAGTAAAAGAAACTAATTAGAGTGAACCAGCAATCGACAGAAAAAATTTTTGCAATCTACCCATCTGACAAAGGGCTGATATCCAGAATCTACAAAGAACTTAAACAAATTTAAAGAAAGAAACAGCCCCATCAGAGAGTGGGTGAAAGATATGAACAGACGCTTCTCAAAAGAAGACATTTATGCAGCCAACAAACATGAAAAAATGCTCATCACCACTGGTCATTAGATAAATGTAAAGCAAAACTACATTTAGATACCATCTCAGGCCAGTTAGAACAGTGATCATTAAAAAAAAATCAGGAGACAACAGATGCTGGAAAGGATGTAGAGAAATAGGGATACTTTTACACTGTTGGTGGAAGTGTAAATTAGTTCAACTCTTGTGGAAGACCATGTGGTGATTTCTCAAGGATCTAGGACTAGAAATACCATTTGGCCCAGCAATCCCACTACTGGATATATACCCAAAGGATTACAAATCATTCTGTTATAAAGACACATGCACACATATGTTTATTGCAGCACTGTTCATGATTGCAAAGACCTGGAAGCGACCCAAATGCCCATGAATGATAGACTGGGTAAAGAAAACGTGGCACATATACACTTGGAATACTATGCAATCATTAAAAAAAAAGAATGAGTTCATGTCCTTTTCAGGGACATGGATAAATCTAGAAACCGTCATTCTCAGCAAATTTACACAAGAACAGAAAACCAAATACCGCATATTCTCACACATAAGTGGATGTTGAACAATGAGAGCACATGGACACAGGGAGGGAAACATCACACACCAGGGCCTATCAGGGGTGGGAGGCTGGGAGAAAGATAGCATTAGGAGAAATACCTAGTGTATATGATGGGGGATGGATGCAGCAAACCACCATGGCCTGTGTAGCAATCCTGAACATTCTGCACATGTGCCCCAGAACTTAAAGTATTATAATAATAATTTTAAAAAAGAAAAAAGTTTCTAGCACAATTCCCAACATTAAGAAAAGATTAGTCAGGTGTGGTGTCACCACCTGTAATCCCAGCTATTCAGGAGGCTGAGGCCAGAGAATCACCTGAGCCCAGCAGTTCATTTGTAGTGAGCTATGCTAGTGGCACCCCTGCCTCAGAAATAGAGGGTGGCTCTGTTTCAGGATTGAAAAAAAAAAAAAAAAAGGCCAGGCATAGTAGTGGCTTATGTCTGTAATCCCAGCCCTTTGGGACATGAAAGCAGGCAAATTGCTTGTGGCCAGGAGTTCAAGAGAGCAGCCTAGACAACATGGCAAAACCACATCTCTACAAAAACTACAAAAATTAGCTGTAGTCCCAGCTACTCAGGAGGCTAAAGTGGGAGGATCACTTGAGTCAGGAAGGTCAAGGCTTCAGTAAGCTGAGAGCATGCCATTGCACTCCAGCCTGGGTGACAGAGTGATACCCTGTCTCAAAAGAAAAAAAAAAGAATCAACAGATTCATTTGCATCAAATATTCAAGTATTTTTATGTAAAGCTTGTAATGAATGTTGTGTTAACTTACTGCAACTTGATACATGAAAATGAAAAAACCCTACATTATTTAATTTTCCGTAATATTTACTGTATTTGAAAATTGATGAATATTTCAAAAAGACTAAAGCTGCATGAAATGACTTAGCTCTAGTTCCTATTGATAGTTAAGTTTTGAAAGTCAGAATTTATATTTTATTCTTCAGAATTAACACATTCTATGAGGCAATAACACACCTTGCATTTGGAAGGGGCATAATATACCAAAGAAATCTAAAACATAAACGTTTAAAAACCTTTTTTTAAGTAACTTAATATAATTTTAAGGCATTAATTACATTCTACAGTTGGGCAATTTATATCTTTATAGGTGAAATATATTTATCTTTCTTGGTAAATAGCATTTTCCCCTATATTTTTGTTCTAAATAAATGGACATATCTGATCATTGCGTTTTTTTTAAATTTAGGTTTTCTTTGCAAACTATGCACTCTCATCTTCACTACTATTGCATTTTTCATATACAAACATCCTGAAAAGGACAGCACTGACATCCCAGATATAACTGTGAAGAATCCAAAAGCTGAGAAAAGAAAAACTGACTTGTAACTGGATCATCATTTTGTAAGAATTGCATATTGTCAATCTACCAATGAAATATTATATTAATATTAACAAAATTTAAAATAACAATAATATAATTACATGTTTGACAAGTAGATGTACTTCATATAATTTTACATATTTTATTATATTTTGATTGCAAATATAATAATACAGTCTTTATGTTTAAAATTTTTTAAAATATACAATACACACATAATACTTTCAATAAAAGACAATACTTTGAAAAAGATGGAATGAAAATAGGAAAATACACCTAGGTTAATTTTGACTGAAGTGCTATCCCATTAATTGTTGACCTTTGCTATGTAGAATTAATTAGGTTCCCTTTTTAGTTTGTTCTTAGTACTTTTGATATGGGTTGTAGATGTTTATTTTCTTTTCTAAATAAAAGCATAATTGTCAAATTAGCTGGGCATGGTGGCGTGTGCCTGTAGTCTAAGCTACTGGGGAGGCTGAGGCAGGAGAATTGCCTGAACCTGGAGGGCAGAGGTTGCGGTGAGCCGAGATCGCGCCATTGCACTCCAGCCTGGGTAACAAGAGCGAAACTCCATCTAAAAAAAAAAAAAAAAAAAAAAAAAGCATAATTGTCAATCAAGTTTATGTAATTAAAGTTATATATATTTTCTAAAAAAAATCTTAAACCTTTTTAAGTTAATATTTTATTTATCTGCAATTTGACATGTAGAGGTAACCTCAGAAAATTTCTTTGGTTAATTGACCAGTTTACAATAAATATTTTCATTTTTTTTAATCTTAGTAAACATAAAATTCAATATAATCACATACTGCTACCTATCTTTTTTTATCTTTTTACATTTTTTACCTTCACTTGAATTTTATTGATAATGACTGATAATCTGAGTTGAAATCTACTTTTGTGCTTTTATACTTCATTTTATGATTAGTCATAATTATTTAATGTGAAGAAATATTTAAATGTATAAAATGGGTCAACTATAGATTTTTTTAAGCTAAAATGCACTTGTATAGATATTTTGTTATAATTTTTTATACATTATTGTACATCAGTCCAAATTATATTTTCCAAATATTGTATAAAAATTAGATTGTTGTGAAACAAAGTTCTCTACAATGTTTCTTTGTTTTCTTGGAAGAAGTGATAGCTGACATAATTTCTCTGTTGTTATTAACAGTAGTCAATGACCTTAAGCGACTGTGTGGACATTGTCTTATTCATGGTCATGGCTAGCAGAAGGAAATGTGAAGCAGGCAATATTCATATCTTGCTATACATTTTTATTTCCTGCTACACATTTTATTTCAGCATGCATTTCAAAAATCTATGAACTCGTCTTCATGTAAAAATCTACTTGATTGCTTGACTCTTCTCTGTTTGAACCAGCAGGATTGCAAATCATTTGAGGATCAGAATGTGAAAATGAGTTTCTCTTTTAAAGATTCTGTAAGATTTGTTGCTGTGCCCAACTTTCAGAAGAGGAAAATCACACATGATCTTTACATAAGTAGCTTAAATATATTTATAATGGTCTATATTTACATAATAAAGTGCCCCGTTGTGAAACATTTCTGATAATGTTTTTAATGTATGTAGATTTTTTAGAATTTACTGGGAGAATTAAATTTTAATAATTTTAGATTATTTACATATCTTCTTAATATTCTGCTGTAGAATATTATCTTAAAAATTATAGAACTAAAAAATAAAGTAAAATAATAACATTCAGAGCCACTTTGAACATGCTTCTAAGGTGTGTTTGTGGTGTGTGTGTGTGGGGTTGAATAGATATATTATTACCTGTTTATGTTACTCTTGCTTTCTTTTTTTCAGAAAATAAATCAGTGAAGGTATAATAAAAATTAAATAAAAAAATTAAATATTGGGAAGTACTGTTAAGACTTTAAATATAGATTTTTGCTATAAAAGAATATGTGTTGCTGTATCACAAACTAATTCATCGAGGATTGACAAAAAGGGAAATAACGTAAATATAATTCAGAAGTTCTATTGGTTAATTCCAATTTAATATCTCTTTAAATAATCAGGGGAAGTTTTTCACTTTTACAGAGAAGAACTTAGCAATAAATAAAATCTTAAAAACTGCTAAAAATCCCACAGAAGTGCCTTTCTTTGGAGTCAGTTTTGAATAATTTAATGCCACCAAGAATCACTATACTTTTGAGAATTTTAATATACCTGAGGATACTACATGTGCAGGTAAAGAAGGTGCAAAGATACTTCTAAATATTGGGATTTTAACTTTGATGAAGCTGATCTCTTTTGGAGTTTGTATCTTCAAGGACCTACATTTTAAAGGAAGATGGCGAGCCCCAGCATTTAATCCTACAAAGGACTGAGTATAGTGGTGGGTAAAAAAAATGCTAGTGGAAGTTTAACTGCTAAGATGTGTTAAGATTCTGATTGTTTTTGTTAGAGCTCTGGTTACAAAGTTGAATATTTTTGAGTGGTTTACCTCTACAATATTTTCTCCATAAGCCTGCTTAGTCCTGATGCTTAATTTTGCCTAAAGGGACACTGTAAAGGAATGTCTACAAAATATTAGAGTGAAAATGATCATATTTTAAAATAGATGATAATTTACATGTGCTCTTCAAGTTGCACTTGTTCTGAAGTCTTGAAATGATTGCTATGAAAATCTGAGTTTCTTAGTCTTTTTCTTTACTGGATTCTTTTTTTTTTTAACATCAGATTGAAATTTTACTGCTTATCACATCTAGCAGTCTAATGCTAAATGTTGTCTAGAAATGCAATATGTACCAAGGAAAGTGTCAATTTGGGAATTATTAATGGCATACTTCTCAGTTTTCAGCACTATAAAGAGTTTACTCCCATTTTTTATTTTGTTATTTCAGTCTGTTAGATGCAGAGAAGTAAAGATGTGTTCAATTTAATATTTTTAATGGCACTCCTTTTATCTTTAACATTGTCTAATATAATATTTTAATGAGTATTATTATAGCACAATATTGGGTTTTCAAACTTTAATGTGAAACTACTTTCTGAGGGTCTAAATATCTGGTATTAAAAGTGCTAGTGATGAATTTATTAATCTATTGTTTACTCTTGACATAGGAGGTTTCCACTAGCTATAAATATTAATTGTAGTTCTTCCCTATTGATTATATGCATATATTTATATACATATATAATTTTCTTCATCCAGTTTACTGTTGATGGGCATTTAGGTTGATTTTAGAGCTTTGTTATTGTGAATAGGGCTGCAATGCACATCTCTGTCCATGTGTTGTTATGGCAGGATGAATTTTATTCTTTTGGGTATATACCCAAAGGGCATCACTGGGGCAAATGGCAATTCTGTTTGAAGTTCTTTGGGAAATTGCCACATTGCTTTTGACAGTGGCAGAACTAATTTACATTCCTATCAGCAGTGTATAAGCATTCACATTTGTTCACAAACTTGTTGGCATCTATTATTTTTGGCCTTTTTATAATAGCTATTCTGACTGGTGTAAGGTGGTATCTCATTGTAGTTTTGATTTGCATTTCTCTAATTAGAATGGTGTGAAATTTTGTACTGTAAGTCTAATTAAACCTCTTTTTCTCCCCAGTCTCAGATAAGTCTTTATCAGCAGTGTGAAAACAGACTAAGACAGTAAATTAGTACCAGGAATGGGGTGGTGTTGAAAAGATACCCCAAAATGTGGAAGGGACTTTGGGTAACAGGTACAGGTTGGAACAGTTTGGGGGGCTCAGAAGAAGACAGGAAAATGTGGAAAAGTTTGGAACTTCCTAGAAACTTGTTGAATGGTTTTGCCCAAAATGCTGATAGTGATATAGAGAATAACATCCAGGCTGAGGTGAGGAACTTTTTAGGACCTGGAGCATGGTGACTCTTGCTATGTTTTAGCAAAGAGACTTGTGGCATTTTTCCCCTACCCTAAAGGTTGATTTTTTGGAACTTTGAACTTGAGAGACATGATATAGGGTATCTGGTGGAAGAAATGTCTAAGCAGCAAAGCATTCAAGAGGTGACTTGGGTGCTGTTAAAGGCATTTACTTTCATAAGGCAAGCATAAAACAAAAGTTCAAAAAATTTCCAGCCTTACAATATGACAGAAAATAAAAACTCATTTTCTGAGAAGATATTCAAGCCAGCTGCAAAAATTTGCATAAATGATAAGGAGCTGAATACTAATCCCCAAGACAATTAGGAAAATGTCTCCAGGGTATGTCAGAGATATTCACAGAAAACACTCTCATCACAGGCCTGGAGCCTAGGAGAAAATGGTTTCACAGGCCTGGCCCAGAGTCCCTGTGCTTTTGCAGTCTAGCAAATTGGTGCCTTGTGTCCCAGACACTCCAGCCATGACTAAAAGGTCCAAGGTACAGGTTGGGCTACTGCTTCTGAGGCTAGAAGCTCCATGCCTTGGTAGCTTCCACATGGCATTGAGCCTGTGAGTGCACAGAAGTCAAGGACTCGGGTTTGGGAAACTCTGCCTAGATTTCAGAAGATGTGTGGAAATACCTGGATGCCAAAGCAAAATTTTGGCAGGGGTGGGCCCTCATGGAAAACCTCTGCTTGGGCAGTGTGGAAGGGAAATATGGAGTCAGAGCCCCCACACAGAGTTCCTACTGGGGTACCACCTAGTGAAGCTGTGAGAAGAGGGCCACTGTCCTCAAGATCCCAGAATCGTAGATCCACTGACAGCTTGCACAGTGTTTCTTGAAAATCCACAAACATCAATGCCAGCCCATGAATGCAGCAAGGCAGGTGACTATATCCTGCAAAGCCACAGGGCCAGAGTTGCCCAAGACCATGGGAATCCAACTCTTGTATCAGTGTGACCTGGATGTGAGACCTTGAATCAAAGGAGATTATTTTGGAGCTTTAAAATTTGACTGCTCCACTGGATTTTGAACATGCATGGGCCCTGTAACCCCTTTGTTTTGGCCAATTTTTCCCCTTTGGGACCACTGTATTTACCCAATACCTATACCCATATTGTATCTAGGAAATAACTAGCTTGCCTTTGATTTTTCAGGTTCATAGGTGAAAAAGACTTGCCTTGTCCTAGATGAGACTTTGGACTATGGACTTTAGGGTTCATGCTGAAAACAGTTAAGACTTTGGGGGACTGTTGGGAAGGCATGATTGGTTTTGAAATGTGAGGACATGAGATTTGGGAGAGGTTGGGAATGGGATGATATGGTTTGGCTATGTCCCTACCCAAATATTATCTTGAATTGAAGCCAGGCAGCCAAGTGGTCTAGCTCAGCAGTTTCCACCTTCATAGACCGCAGCAATCTAAGATCCACTAGTATGAAATTCTTACTGCCAACACAGTAGTCTGAAGTCAACCTGGGACAGTTGAGCTTGGTGAGGGGAGGGGCATCTGCCATTACCAAGCCCTGGGTAGGTGCTTTTCCCCTCAAAGTGTAAAGAAAACCAGTGGGAAGTTTGAACTGGGCAGAGGCCACAGTCGCTTGGCAAAGCCCCTGTAGCCAGACCACATCCCTAGATTTCCCCTGTCTGAGCAGGACATCTTTGAAAGAAAGGTAGCAGGCCCCATCAGGGGCTTATAGATAAAACTACCATCTTCCTGGGTAAGAGCACCTGGGGGAGGGGGCAGCTGTAAACACAGCTTCAACAGACGTAAATATTTCTACCTGCCAGTTTTGAAGAAAGCAGCAGATCTCCCAGAACAGCACTCAAGCTCTGATAAGAAACAGACTGTTTCCTCAAGTGTGGGTCCCTGACCTCTGTGCCACCTTACAGGGAGAAATCTGCCAGCAGGGGTTGACAAACACCTCATACAGGAGAATTCCAGCTGGCATCTGGTGAGTGCCCCTCTGGGACAATGCTTCCAGAGGAAGGAACAGGCAGCAATCTTTATTTCTGCAGCCTCTGCTGGTAATTCCCAGGCAAACAGGGTCTAGAGTGAACCTCCAACAAATTCCAGCAGACCTGCAGCAGAGGGGCCTTAACAAACAGAAAGGAACAACATCAACATAAAAAAAAAAAAAAAAAAAAAGGACATCAACACAGAAAACCCATTGAAAGGTTGCCAACATCAAAGAAAAGGGTAGATAAAATCTACAAACATGAGGAAAAACAAAGGCAAAAAGGCTGAAAATTCCAAAAAACAAATTGCCTCTTCTCCTCTAAAAGATCACAACTCCTCACCAGCAAAAGAGCAAAACTGGATGGAGAATGAGTTTGAAAAATTGACAGAGGTAGGCTTCAGAGGGTGGTAATAACAAACTCCTTTGAGCTAAAGGAGCATTTTTAACCCAATGCAAGAAACCTAAGAACATTGAAAAAAAGGTTAGAGAAATTGCTAACTAGAATAATAAGTTTAGAGAAGAACATAAATGACCGGATGGAGCTGAAAACACAGCACAAGAACTTTATGAAGCATATGCAAGTATCAATAGCCAAATTGATCAACTGGAAGAAAGGATATAGGAGATTGAAGATCAATTTAATGAAAAAAAGTGTGAAGACAATATTAGAGAAAAAAAGAATGAAAGGAATGAACAAAGCCTTCAAGAAATATGAAACTATGTTAAAAGACCAAACCTATGTTTGGTGTACCAGAAAGTGATGGGAAGAATGGAACTAAGTTGAAAAATGATCTTCAGAATATTATCCAGGAGAACTTCCCCAACCTAGCAAGACAGAACAATATTCAAATACAGGAAATACAGAGAACACCACAAAAACACTTTTTGAGAAGAGCAACCCCAAGACACATAAGTGCCAGATTCGCCAAGATTGAAATGAAAGAAAAAATGTTAAGCGCAGTCAGAAAGAAATATCAGGTTACCCACAAAGGGAAGCTCATCATACTAACAGCAGATCTCTCTGCAGAAACCCTACAAGTCAGAAGAGAGTGGGAGCCAATATTCCACAATCTTAAGGAAAAGCATTTTCAAGTCAGAATTTCATATCCTGCCAAACTAAACTTCATAAGAGAAGGAGAAATAAAATCCTGTACACACAAGCAAATGCTGAGAGATTTTGATCACCACCAGGCCTGCTTTATGAGAGTTCCTAAAGGAAGCACTAAATATGGGTTGGAAAAACTGGTACCAGCCACTGCAAAAGCATACCAAATTGTAAAGACCATTGCCACTATAAATAAACTACAACAACTAATAAGTTAAATAACTAGCTAGCATTGTAATGACAGGATCAAATTCACACATAACAATATTGACCTTAAATGTAATGGGGATAAGTGCCCCAATTAAAAGACACAGACTGGCAAATTAGATAGTCAAGACCCATTGGTATGCCGTATTCAGGAGACCGATCTCACATGCAAAGTCACATATAGGTTCAAAATAAAAGGATAGAGAAATATTTACCAAGCAAATGAAAAAAAAAAATCAGGAGTTGAAATCCCAGTCTCTGATAAAACAGACTTTAAACCAACAAAGATCAAAAGAGACAAAGAAGGGCCTTACATATTGGTAAAGGGATCAATGCAATAAGAAGAGCTAATCATCCTAAATGTATATTCACCCAATACACAAGCACCTAGATACATAAAGAAAGTTCTTAGAGACCTGCAAAGAGACATAGACTCCAACACAATAATAGTGGGAGACTTTAACACCCCACTGTCAATATTAGACAGAAGAACAAGACAGAAAATTAACAGTGATATCCAAGACATGAACTAGGATCTGGACCAAGCAGACCTAATAGACAACTACAGAACTCCTAACCCCAAATAAACAGAATATACATTCTTCTCAGTACCACATCACTCTTATTCTAAAATTAATAACATAATTGGAAGTAAAATACTTCTCAGCAAATGCATAAAACAGAAATTATAACAAACTGTTTCCCAGAACACAGGGCAAACAAATTAGAATGCAGGATTAAGAAACTCACTTAAAATCACACAACTACATGGAAACTGAGCCACCTGCTCCTGAATGACTTATGGGTAAATAACAAAATTAAGGCAGAAATAAATAAATTATTTGAAACCAATGAGAATCAAGATGCAGCATACCAGAATCTGTGGGACAGATAAGGCAGTATTTAGATGGAAATTTATAGCCCACAGGAGAAAGCAGGAAAGATCTAAAATCGACACCCTAACATCAAAATTAAAAGAACTAGAGAAGCAAGAGAAAACAAATCCAAAAGCTAGCAGAAGACAAGAAATAACCAAGATCAGAGCAGAACTGAATGAGGTAGAGACACACACACACACAAAAACCTTCAAAAAATCAATAAATCCAGGAGCTAGTTTTTTTTTTTAAGATTAACAAAATAGGTAGACCACTAGCCAAACTAATAAAGAAGAAAAGAGAGAGGAATTAAATAGACACAATAAAAAATAATAAAGGGGATATCACCACTGATTTCATAGAAATACAACTACTATCAGAGTATACTATATGCCAATAAACGAAAAAATCTAAAAGAAGTGGATAAACTCCTGGACACATACACCCTCATGCTAAGTCAGGAAGAAGCTGAATTCCAGAATAGACCTGTAACAAGTTCTTAAATTGAAGCAGTAATAACTAGCCTAATGACCAAAATAAAAAGCCCAGGACCAGATGAATTCACAGCCAAACAACTGAATTCTACCAGAGATATAAAGAGAAGCTGGTACCATTCCTTCTGAAACTATTCCAAACAATAGAAAAGAAAAGAGACCTCCCTTACTCATTTTATGAGGCCAGCATCCTGATAACAAAACGTGTCAGAGACACACACACAAAATTTCAGGCCAATAACTCTGATGACTGTTGATGTGAAAGTCCTCAATAAAATACTGGCAAACAGAATCCAGCAGCACATCAGAAAGTGTATCCACCATGATCAAGTTGCCTTCATCCCTGAGATGCGATGCTAGTTCAATATAGTAAATCAATACATGTAATTCATCACATAAACAGAAACAATAACAAAAACCACATGATTATCTCAACAGATGCAGAAAAGCCCTTCAATAAAGTTCGACATCCCTTTATGCTAAACACACTCAATAAACTAGATATTGAGGAAACATATCTCAAAATAGTAAGAGCTATTTATGACAAACCCATAGTCAATATCATACTGAATAAGCAAAGGTTGGAAGTATTCCCTTTGAAAACTGGCACAAGGCAAGGATGCCCTCTCTCACCACTCCTAGTTAACAGTATTGGAAGTCCTGGCCAGGGCAATCAGGCAAGAGAAAGAAATAAATGGTATTCAAATAGGAAGAGAGAACATCAAATTGTCTCTTGTTTGCAAATGACAGAATTGTATTCTATATTTGGAAAACCCCATCATCTCAGCCCAGAATCTCCTTAAGCTGATAAACAACTTCAGCAATTTCTCAGGATACAAAATCAATGTGCAAAAAATCACAAGCATTTCTATACACCAATAATTGACAAACATAGAGCCAAATCATAAGTGAACTCTCTTTCACTGTTGCTAGAAATACCCAGAAATACAACTTAGAAGGGATGTGAAAAACCTCTTCAAGGATAACTACAAACCACTGCTCAAGAAATTAAGAAAGGACACAAACAAATGGAAAAACATTCTATCCTCATGAATAGGAAGAATCAGTATTGTGAAAATGGCCACACTGCCCAAGTAATTTACAGATTAAATGCTCTCCCCATCAAGCTACCATTGACAACACAGAATTAGAAAAACTACTTTAAATTTTATATGGAACCAAAAAAGAGCCTGTATAGCCAAGACAATCCTAAGCAAAAAGAAGAAAACTGGAGATATCACACTACCTAACTTTAAACTATACTAGAAGGCTACAGTAACAAAAAGAACATGGTACTGGTAACAAAACAGATATATAGACCAATGGAACAGAACAGAGGCCTCAGAAATAAGGCCAAACATCTACAACCACCTGATCTTTGACAAACCTAACAAAAACAAGCAATGGGGAAAGAATTCCGTGTTTAATAAATGGTGTTGGGGAAACTGGCTAGCCATATACAGAAAAGAGAAACTGGACCCCTTCCTTATGCCTTAATACAAAAATTAACTCAGATGGACTAAAGATTTAAACATAAGATCTAAAACCATGAAAACCCTAGAAGAAACCATTTAGGACATAGGCATGGGCAAAAACTTCTTGATTAAAATATCAAAAGCAAGGGCAACAAAAGCCAAAATTAAGAAATGGGATCTAGTTAATCTAAAGAGCTTCTGCTCTCTTGGGGAGAGAGCCAAGATGGCTGGTTGCTAACAGCTTGGGATTGTGAGCAGAAAATGAGAGGACACCACACTTTCAGATGAATTTTGTTGCTCATGGACCAGAAGATTCCCAGCGGAGGAGCCCCACGGGTTGCCAGCATGACTCTTATGGCTGGCACAGCAGTTTTGCAGGTGCCTCGGCACGGCGGCTCTTGGTGCAGAGTAAGCGGGACTGGATCCCCTTCTGACTGACATTTGGAGCTCCAGGAAGGCAGAGTCACCTATTACGGATTCAAGAAGGAAGCTATACTGAGGATTCCTGGGCAGAAGAACACCATCAGTCTTAACACCGCTGTTTTGGCTGGTGCAGTGGGTTGCTCGGATTCCAGCACTGGGAATCAATAAACTGGGCATCCACTCAGAAACCCAACTAGAAAGGCAGTAATCGTAAAGACGACAGATGGATAAATTTATAACAAAGGGAAGAAACCAGCCTAAAAAGGCTGAGAATACCCAAAATCAGAACGCCTTTCCATCTACAGGGGATTACAGTTCCTCATCAGCAACGGAACGAGGCCTGATGGACAAGGACTGTGTGCCATTAACAGAAGTAGGCTTCAGAAGGTGGATGATAAGAAACTTCTGGGAGTTAAAAGAACTTGTTCTAACCCAATGCAAAGAAAGTAAGAACTTTGAAAAAAGGTTTGACAAAATGTTAATAATTATAGACAATATAGAGAGGAATATAAATGAATTAATGGAGTTGAAAAACACGAGAACTTTGTGAAATATGCACAAGTTTTAATAGCCGACTTGATCAAGCATAAGAAAGGATATCAGAGGTTGAAGTTCAACTTAATGAAATAAAAGGAGAAGACAAGAATAGAGAAAAAAGGATAAAAAGGAATGAGGAAAGTCTCCAAGAAATATGAGACTATGTGAAAAGACCTAATTTACGTTTGATAGGTGTACCTGAATACGACAAAGAGAATGAATCCAAGTTGGAAAATACTCTTCAGGATATTATTCGGGAAAACTTTCCCAACCTATCAAGGCAGGACAATACTCAACTCCGGGTAATACAGAGAACACCACAAAGATACTTCTCAAGAAGAGCAACCCCAAGGCACATAATCGTTAGATTCACCAGGGTTGAAATGAAGGAGAAAATACTAAGGGCAGCCAGAGAGAAAAGTCAGGTTACTTACAAAGGGAAGCCTATCAGACTTACAGCAGATCTCTCAGCAGAAACCCTACAAGCCAGAAGAGAGTGGGGGCCAATATTCAATATCCTTAAATAAAATAACTTTCATCCCAGAATTTCATATCCAGCCAAACTAAACTTCACAACTGAAGGAAAAATAAAATCTTTTATGAAGAAGCAAGTACTCAGAGATTTTATTACCACCAGGCCTGCTTTACAAGAGCTTCTGAAAGAAGCATTACACATAGAAAGGAACAACCAGTATTAACCTTTCTAAAAATATACCAAAAAGTAAAGAGCATCAACATAATGAAGAATTTACATCAATGAATGGACAAAATAGCCAGTTAACATCAAATGGCAGTAATCCTAAATTTAAATTGACTAAATCCCCCAATCAAAAGACACAGTCAAAACCCAACGGTATGCTACATCCAAACCCATTTCACATGCAAGGATACACAAAGACTTAAAACAAAGGGATGGAGAAACATTTACCATCCAAATGGAGAGCAAAAATAAAATAAATAAATAAAAAGCAGGAGTTGCAATTCTTGCCTCTGATAAGATAGATTTTAAAGCAACAAAGATATAGTGGTAAAAGCATCAATGTGACAAGAAGAGCTAACAATCCTAACACCCAGATACATAAGACCTATAAAGAGACTTAGACTCCCTAGACTCCCACACAATAATGGTGGGAGACTTCAACATCAATATTGGATAGATCAACGAGACAGAAGATTGATGGGGATGTCCAGGACTTGAACTCAGATCCGGAACAAGTAAACTTAATAAACATTTATAGAGCTCTCAACTTTAAATACATAAGGTGTACATTCTTGTCAGTGCCACATTGCACCTACTCATAGGTTTAAATGAATTATTGATCGGCCATTACTAAGCATGATTATTGGCATAAAAGAGGTTTTTAATACCCATTTTTAGAATAAAGCAGCATTCCGGTTCTCTCTCCCTCTTTTTCTTCCTCTTTCTTCCTCTCCTTTTCTTTTTTTTTTCTTTCTTTCCTTCTCTTCCTTCTAAAGAAAAAAAAAAAAAGAGCTTCTGCACAGCAAAAGAAACTATCACCAGAGTGAATAGGCAACCTACAGGCTGGGAGAACATTTTTGCCATCTATCCATCTGACAAAGGGCTAACTAATATCCAGAATCTACAAAAAACTTAAATTCACAAGAAAAAAAAACCATCAAAAAGTATGTGAAGGATTTGAACAGACACTTCTCAAAAGTGGCCAACAAACATATGAGAAAAGGCTCATAATCACTGGTCATTAGAGAAATGCAGATCAAAGCCACAATGAGATACTATCTCAAACCAGTTAAAATGGTGATCATAAGTGAACTCTCATTCACAATTGCTACAAATATAATAAAATATCCAAGAAAACAACTTACAAGGGATGTGAAGAACCTCTTCAAGGATAACTACAAACCAAGAAATTCAGAAGACTCAAACAAATGGAGAAACATTCCATCCTTATGAATAGGAAGAATCAATATTGTGAAAATGGCCACATTGCCCAAGTAATTTACAGAGTCAATGCTATCCCCATCAAGCTACCACTGACTTCACAGAATTAGACATACTGATGAAATAGAATGCTTTTGCATTGTTGGTGGGAGTGTAAGTTAGTTCAACCATTGTGGAAGATAGTATGGTGAATCCTCAAGGATCTAGAACCAGAAATACCATTTGACCAAGCCATCCTATTACTGAGTGTATACCCAAAGGATTATGAATTATTCTACTATAAAGACACATCACATGCACCTGTATATTTATTGTAGCACTATTCACAAAGACTTGGACCCAGCCCAAATGTCTATCAATAATAGACTGCATAAAGAAAATGTGACACATATACATTATGGAATACCATGCAGCCATAAAAAAGGATGAGTTTATGTTTTTGCAGGGACACGGATGAAGTTGGAAACCATAATTCTTAGCAAACTAACACAAGAACAGAAAAACAAACACCACATCTTCTCACTCATAAGTTGGAGTTGAACAAAAATCCCCTTACCAAATCTGTTAAGTGCATAGTAAATGCCCTTATTTAGGTACCTAAAAGTAATGTTTTTGTCTCTAATGAATAGCTTGCTCCAAGGTACCATTTCTTAAATTTTACTCACACAAGACTGTTCTTAATGTTTGAACAATGAATATAGTGCTACTCCAAGTTAATCTCTTCACTGTCTGAAAATGCAGAAGTTTTCAGGGTTAAACAGTTTCCTAGAAGCTTAGGGAAAACTCACTGCCTAGGCAATCTCTGCCTTGTGAATGCCTGTATAAACTTTAGAGGCTGTGCTGATACCATGCAGCTCTGTTCCTGAGGCCCGTCCTGACAGCTCTCAGCTTACAGACCTTGTGGACAGGAGTCACACTCATTGTGATCATCTAGGAGAGGTCAGCAATTATGGTATCAGGATGTGGAGTAAGTGTTGCTTTATGCTTTCTTCTTGATGGAGCAGTAAGGAAAGTTCATGCATTTGTTTGTCTGCCTGTCCGGTCATCAAATCCTGAGTGTGTCCTAGTGAAAGTCATTGGTTAGTTACTAAGGACATAAAGGCCAATATACCCTGGACTCTGCCCTCAAGAAGCTGGAGATCCAGGAGAGGGGACAGGGAGATAAACAAGTAAAAGTGTTACTGTACTTTGACAGGTGTGTGTCTAGGGTGCCATGTAATCATTGAAAGGAAGCACCTGGTTCAACATTGGGTGAAGTGGTTTAAGAAAGGCCTGAGAGAGGAAGCCTAAGAGTTGTAGCATTTCTGGAAGAGGAAATCCAGCAAACAGAGGCATGGAAGTGTAAGATGGCCCAGGCTGTTGGGCACTGTGAGCCATGCAGCACAGCTGGAGCAAGGCCATAAGGAGACATGGCTCCCAGGTGTTTGAATGCTAACTTTTAAAATTTTTTAGATACATGTTCTTGCTCTATCGCCCAGGATAGGGTGCACTGATTTGATGATAGCTCACCATACCCTCAAACTCCTGAGCTAAAGGGATCTTCCCACCTCAGCCTCTTGAGTAGCTGGGAGTACAGACAGGTGCCATCATGCCTATTTAAAACAATTTGTTTGAAATAGGGTCTCACTATGTTGCCCAGGCTGGTCTCAGATTCTTGGCCTCAAGTGATCCTCTCACCTCAGCCTCCCAAGCAGTTGGAATTATAGGTGAACCTGTAGTTACAGGTCCACACTGCCCACCTCTAACATTCTTAAGACAGCAAACATAGGCATTCTGGTTAGTTTTATTCTGCTGGCTTTCAGAAAAGGTAGGTCTGAACTATCATCTCATTAGCAATACAATTTATTTTGAATCCAGTACTGTGAAAGGCAAACCTACCTTTAAAATTTATGATAGAGCCATATTGCTCACGAAGTTTCAATCTTTTGATTATATCATCACTAAGATAGCCCTCCACTATTTTACAAGCTTAAAGATTTTTTAGTTTGGCATGAATAATCAACAAACTCCAAAGCAAATGGCTAGGTTAAATTCTGAATCTACAGATGAAAACATCACATCTTGACCTTATCATTTGCCTGAACATAGTTTAGTATAAGGACCATTATGGGCTTTTCTTGTTCTTTTTGGGTTGAAGTCATGCTCTGTTACCCAGGTTGGAGTGCAGAAGCGTGATCTTGGCTCACTGCAGCCTCTATCTCCCAGGTTTAAGTGATTCTCCTGCCTCAGCCCCCCAAGTAGCTGGGACTATAGGCAAGATCCACCACACCTGGCTAATTTTTTTTTATTTTTATTTTTAGTAGAGATGGGGTTTCACCATGCTGACCAGGCTGGTCTTACTTTGTTTTCCAGATTGAAAAGATTACACCAAGTCTCACTGTGATGTGCAGTACTATGAATGCCTCTTAGCAGTCAGGGTGTGTGCATGCAGTGGAGTCTTGCCCTTCCTAATCCTTTCAGGCACATCTAATACAGGGCTGCCACAACTGCTCAGCACAACTCGGGAATGGCCTTCAGAAAGAGTTTTCTTTGCTGCTCATTCATTCATTCATTCAACAATCATATATATGTGTAAGTATAATGATATATAATATAAATACACATATTATTAATAATCTGGACAGAGGGAATGGCTCTGGTATGTATAGAAGGTGACAAAAATGTGTGGCTAGAGGGGTTGGGTGCATTAACAGTGGAAGGAAAGTTCAGAGTGACAAGCGAAATCTCATAGGGATTTGCAGACAAGAAATTTTAGAAGTAAATGATGCAGAGCCATGAGAGAGTCTTTAATGGGGGATTGATAAGATCTAATTTACTACTTACATATAAAGAGTTATTACATGACCATGCGGTCATAGGAAATTCTTCTTATGAACGACTGTATTTTCCAAAGATGGCCATACCTATGTATGTATCCCTTTCTAAACGTGCCTGATATGGTCTGGCTGTGTCCTCACCCAAATCTCATCTTGAATTGTAGCTCTCACAATTCCCATGTGTTGTGGGAGGGACCTGGTGGGAAATAATTGAATCATGGGGGCAGTTTTCCCCATACTGTCTTGTGGTAGTGAGTAAGTCCCATGAGGTCTGATGGTTTTATAAGGAGAAACCTGTTTCACTTGGTTCTCATTCTCTCTTTGCCTGTCACCATGTAAGACATGCCTTTTGCCTTCCACTGTGATTGTGAGGCCTCCCCAGCCATGTGGAACTGTGAGTTCATTAAACCCCTTTTTCTTTATCAATTAAAAAAAAAAAAGATAACACATGGACACAGGAAGGGGAACATTACAAACTGGGGCCTGTCGGGGGTGGGGGCCTAGAGGAGGGACAGCATTAGAAGAAGTACCTAATGTAGATGATGTGTTAATGGGTCAGCAAACCACCATGGTATCTACATTAGGTATTTTTCCTAATACTATCCCTCCTCTAGGCCCCCACCCCTGACAGGCCCCGGTTTGTAATGTTTCCCTTCCTGTGTCCATGTGTACTCATTGTTCAACTTCCACTTATTGTATACCTATGTAACAAACCTACATATTCTGCACATATATTCCAGAACTTAAAGTATAATAAAAAAAGAGAAAGAAAAAGTAAAAAATGTATGTCTTGTAGTTGTTGGTAGAATATTCTGTAAATATCTGTTAAGTTCATTTTTTATAGGATATAGTTTATGTCCATTTTTTTCTTTGTTGACTTTCTGTCTTGATGACCTATCTAGTGCTGCCAGTGGAGTATTGAAATCCCCCACTATTACTGTGTTGTTGTCAGCCTCTTTTCTTAGGTCTACTAGTAATTGTTTCATAAACTTGGGAGCTCTAATGTTAGGTGCACCTATTTTAAATTGTGATATTTTCCTTTTGGATGAATCCTTTTATCATTGCATAATGTCCTGTTCTAGTTTTTTTTTTTTTTTCTATTTTTGCTTTAAAGTGTGTTTTATCTGACATAAGAATAGCTTCTCCTGCTTGCTTTTGGCTTTCATTTGCATGGAATATCTTTTTTCACTTTTTACTTTAAGTTTAAAGTAAACTTATGTGTTAGGTCAGGCTCTTGAAGATAGCAGATACCTGATTGGTGGATTTTTATACATTCTGCCAACGTGTATCTTTTCAGTGGAGCATTTAGGTGACTCATTTTCAACATTAGTATTGGGATGTGAGGTACTGTTCTATTCATCATGTTAGCTGTTGCCTAAGTACTTTTTTTAAAAAAATTATTGTATTATTGTTTTATAGGCTTTCTGAGATTTGTGTCCTAAGAAGATTCTTTTTTGGTATATTTTGAGGTTTTCTTTCAAATTTTTGAACTTTTACTATTTCTTATAGTGCTGGTGTGGTAGTGATGAATTATCTCAGCATTTGTTTGAGAAAATATTATCTCTCCTTCATTTATGAAAGTCAGTTTCACTGGATAGAAAATTATTGACTGACGATTATTTTGTTTCAAGAGGCTAAAGGTAGGACCCCATTCCTTCTGACTTGAGAGTTTTCTGTTGAGATATTAGCTGTTAATCTCATAAGTTTTCTTTTATAGGTTACCTGATGTTTTCATACCACAGCTTTTAAGATGTTTTTCTTCATCTTAACTTTAGATAACCTCATGACAATCTTTTTGCGATTAATTTTAGGGAATTCTTTGAGCTTCTTGGATTTGGATGTCTTGATCTCCAGCAAACAGGGGAACTTTTCTTCAATTTTTCCCTCAACATAGTTTTTCAAATATTTAGATGTCTCTTCTTCCCCAGCCCAGAGAGCCTGGTAGCCCCATGGGGTGGCTAGACCCAGAAGAATAATAACAATCACTGCAGTCTGGCTCTTAGGAAGCTTAATCCCCAGGAAAGGGGGAGAGTGCCACATCAAGGGATTGCCCCATGGGACAAAAGAATCTAAATAGTAGGCCATGAGTTTCAGATCTTTCCAATTTTGGGTAGTTTTTCAGAGCATAGGCAATTGAAGTGCTGGGTGCAGTAGGGAAAGTCTACACTTATACCGTAACAAGCAGATAGCAGGTAGCATCTCTGATCATGAAGGACCTTGGAAAGGGGGTCCATATTTCCCCTGGCACTCCAGAGCAGGCACAGCTGGGGTGTTCCCTGCAGTAATGCAGCATGGAGGCACCTATAGACAGCCTTTCTGGAACAATCCAGAGTGAGTGTAGCCCCACAGGAGGTGCACACTCTAGATTCTAACCCCTTTCTGGTAATGTTTTTTGGTGAACCATAGAAGGGATACTACTAAAGAAACCCCTCTGACCCAAAGGAAATAGACTGCAATACTGATTTGCTGAGTTTGGGTAAGGGTTAGGGTACCTGGGTAAAGGATGAGATTGGGTTAGAAACCCAAGTTAGAGGAGTTAGAGTCTCTCCTAAGACCGAGAGGGTTAAAGATTCCTCTCATTTAAGGCAAGAATGCTGAACTGACCTGCGGTTCGAGGCCCAACTTAGGAAGGTTAGCATCCTTACTAAGATTTAGGGGGTTAGAAGCCCTCTCAGTAAAGTCCCTCTCACTTAAGGATGGGTTTGGCACCATGGGATGATAATTTTTATGTTCTTTGTATTAACCTGCCTTTGTCCTCTTGCTGCATGAGTCAATTTGCTGTCTCAGTTTCATTGTCATTTTCAGAAGACTTCATTTAGCTTGTCTTAGATATTTAACCTACTCTTTCCCTGTGTGCCTCCTATTTTCTGTCCATTTGCTGGTGAAACATGGAGAGCAAAAATATTGAAGACTCTGTCTCTAAAATTGCTGATGGAGATTTGGCATTTAAAAGCAACGAGCAATAAGATTGGATAGATGTGGTTATGTTTTGTTGCAGTTATGCCCACAAGGTGTGATCAAAGTTAAGGGTGGAAATCAGGGAACTTTTCTCTTTGCTGTTTCATTTCATTTACACACTAAAAAACAAACAAAAAAACAAAAAAACACTTCTTTCCTGTCTTTGATTCAGGCAAATCAGCTTTGCTTATCCAATCCATGTTGCCACTATTGCCCAGAGCCTGCTTGCTCTGGTCATTCCCCTCTAAATCCTTTTCATTTCTTTTGCCTTAGTCAGCATTTCTTTTGTTGGATTCCATGTTGTGGTTTATCTAAGATTTATTGCTCAGCTCATTTATATTATTCAGATAGTGTGATAAGAGAATTCAGTTATTAACAGGGATCCCCTCATTAATGAAGTTGGCCTTTAAAATCTCTTATCCCTTTTAGTGGAAGTTGGCCAGCTGCAATACAATTTCACAGATTTCAAACTTTTTTTCAATATTACCTGCCTCCTTTGTGGAAACCACAGCATCAAACCCAAAGGACTCAGCTATGATGTATTCTTGAATACTGGGAACAGTTTAAACTAAATGGGCTTAAGAAGAGGAGTAAACTGGTATTTCTATTATTATTTGGAAAAACAAGAGCAATTGCCTCCTACTGGAATTATAGCCTTTAATACTATACTTAAACTTGATTTGTTTCATAAGTGGGAGGGAAAATGGGATAAAAAAAGCATATGTTCAAGAATTTTGCTGTTCAGTCAGGATAAAACCCAGCAGCAGGCACATGCATGCTTGATGAAATGAGAGGACGAAAAAGAACTCAACATACTAGATGATCTCCTGGTGCAAGCATCCCCAGTTCAATGGGCATTTCTGGGGTGGAGTAGAACCTCCTTTTGTCAGCTCTGAAAGTTCAGATGTGTTGACCCTTTCTCCCTCTAGTCCTCTGGAAAGTTCTTTTGAGAACCTTTGATCCCCTCCTCCTTACCTGTCTAATTCCACTCTATACCCTCCACTACCTGAGAAACCTAGCCTTGTCAGTACTACTCATACTGGATCCTCTTATCAACTCCCAGAGGGAAATTTTTATCCACTTAGAGAGGTAGAAAAGGAGAAAAAAGGCACTGTAAAAGTACATGTCCCCTTTTCTATGCCTGATGTTGTTATATGTAAAAAGAAGTTTGGTCATTTACCTGAAAATCCAGAAAAATTCATAGATGAGTTTGTGAAATTAACTCTGATATGTAGTTTAACTTGGCAGAATCTGCATGTTTTGTTGCCTCTGTGTTGTACGTGGGTGATAAACAATGTATTTTGGGGACAGCTATAATCCATGCAGAAAAAGTATTGGCTCGCAGCTCTAATCATCATATATATTTGGCAGGAGGTATAGCAGTTTCAGATCAAGATCCAGAATAAAGCTATCAAAGGTGAGGACTTGGGGAGGACAGATCATATCATTGCTTGTTTGTTGGAAGGGATGAAGGAGTGTATAACAAAACCTGTTAACTATGAAAAGGTTAAGGAAGTTTCTCAGGGTAAAGATGAGAATTCAGTTTTGTTTCAAGGATGTTTAGTTGAGCAATTAGGAAATAGACTAACACTGTTCCTGCCTCAAGGGAAGGAAAGACCCTTTTGGGAATACCTCTTATGTGCCAGTCTGCCCCTTATATCAGTAGGAAACTACAAAAAATCAACCATCAGTCCCCAGACTCCTATGGAACAGCTTTTGGAGATGGCATTTTTAGTTTTTAATAACAGGAACAGAGCATAGGAAGCAGAAAGAGCATAGAAAGCATATTGGAGTAGTACTTCACTATGAGTAGTACTGATAAAGCTAGGTTTCTCAGGCAGCGGTGGGTACCAAGTAGAACTAGACAGGTAAGGAGAAGGGGATTTGTTAGTTAAAGAGCCAAATGGGGACTTTAGATTTGTTCAGAAACTTTAAGCTGTCATTGAGGCTGTTGTTTCCATACATTTTATAGTTCCCAATCCCCACATGCTGTTAGCCCAGAAAGAACAAGAAGGACCTCCACTAAAGTGCAGCTCTTGGCTACAGTCTTAAGCTCACCTCCCACATAGGGTTTCCCTCCTGGGTCTTGGCCTAAACAAGGGATGCAGAAAGCTTGAAAGCCCAAAGCTGGGCATCCAAGTCACCATACCTTGGGCATAAAAGAGTGTGCACACTACAAATAAACTGGCTATTGAAAGAGGGGCTGTCTAGCACTTCTAAAGGATTCGTCAGTACCAGAACCAATGATGGCTGAAATAACCAGTCAAGCCCAAGAGTGACACAGAAACTGAGACCTTCTGCCCCAGCTCCCATTGGACAACTAGCCATGTATCTGGAGGACCCTTGGGTAACCCTTGACATGGCAGGTAAGAATATTAACTTTCTTCTCAATATTGGAGCTGCTTACTCTATTTTGACTCATTAAAATGGGCTTCTGCTACCCAGAAACTGAATGGTCATAGGGATAGATGGAAAAGCTCATGGAACCATTTTACATA